TAATCGTCTGCTAATTGAGGTGCACACTGTCCTAATTTGCAAAAAAAACATTCAACGACTGTAGCGTGGAAGTAAATCAGCCCTCTGCTAAACACACGGTTAATGAAAGAGCTTCTTTGCTAGAACGCTGCAAGATGGAGCTGTTCAGGGATGAACTAATTCATCAAGTGTGAATTCAAAACTCATGATCCGACCGAAGCAACGTCTCACCGCACACGCTGTGAACGCGTCTTCTTTTACCATATTACATACGTTGCTTGTAATTCCAAACAGACATATTTGTAGTCTAAACATCGGAAGTTCTTTAAGAGATGTTCCTATCACCGTTGTGAAACCAAAGACAAATTCCATCATGCTATAAAATATATTTGCATTAGCCTTATAAACCCTTAGCATGTACACCTGTAGGAAGCGGTTAATCTTTTTGAAGGAAGTTCATATCAGAATAATAGTTATAACGGCGTCGAAGCGGTTCGTCTGAGATCTTTCAACGTGAAAGTAACAGGGGTTATGCTTACTGTCATAAACCACAATCATTTTGGGGACTCAAAGGGATCTAACTCAGCTTCTTAAAGTCACTGCTTTTAGTAGAGTGCTTCCACTTCTTAACGTTACCTAGACGAGTCACTTATTTCTTATCTCCCTGTCAGATTTCTGCCAACCAAGGACGGTCGGATGCTATTATATTTCAAATTTACGATTTTTAACAAGCAGTTATTGAAAAAATCGGACAACGTGCGGTCTCTACCAACCATGGAAAGTTAACCCAAAAGGAAGACTAAAAACCTAGAAATACAAGCACAGAAGAACTTACACTGAAGTTTGATTCAATCCTCTTTCCGTTTGTACTCTTAGGTATGACTATGATGTTGCGTTGCATTGCATGTCGGATGAGAACCTGGGCCGGGGTCTTCCCATGAGCACTGGCAATTTTCTTTACAAATTCTTCTTCCAACAGAGGTGGAGCATCCCTGTTGCAACCGACGGGGAAGGAAAACACAAAAGTGACAATCAGCAACAGCCAGTACATTTTACTTACTAAGCTATGGTGAGCATCGGTGTGCGGAGGGTTACGGTTTAGGCTACCATCTGCAAAAATAGGGCTCGGCTTCATTGGTTGGAGCAAAATAATTTTCTTGGTGATTGCTTGGACTTGTGGGTTAACTGACTCCTAAAGGCGGCTACAAACAAAAAGGGCCTGGAAAATGCCGACTAAAATGTTCCTATTTCTGTATTTACTTTCATATGCACCAGCCGACTATATCCTTATCTTGATGCTAAAGCTTCAACATATACATCTGAATTCTCTTCGGTGTTTCATGAAGAATGACACGGCAAACGTCTACACTGGATTCGAACGACTTTATAGTTGGTGAAGAAGATAATCGATGGATGGTGCCCTGTCTTTTCGACTATTCTGGCGGCCAACTCGTATGCTCCGGGAAATTCATCGCGGTCAGTTCGCCTGGATGAAGATGGGGACAGTAGGCCACTTACGTGCCCCTAGCCCCACGACACAAAGTTTGCATTATCAGTGGGTAAATAGAAAATTTGCGTGCGAAAGCCTACCGACAGTAGACAGGAGGAGAAGACAGTTATTTTAGGGAGCTGTCATGTGACTTAAAATCGACGAAATCCGTCCCAATGAGGGTTCCTTGAATATAAAATGAAAGTAGTGAGTTCAAGACGTACTTCGTGAATGGCAATACTATAGATGACGCCAATCCTGTAGATGTGCATTACTTAATTGCGCACCGAAAGATGAGGATAAAAACGGCAATATCAACCTTAGAACTGAATTTGTTGGCAAAATAATTTTAGTAGCGCTTTCAAAAATTCTGTTGGCATTACGCGAAAAGGAGTCAAATGATAAGTAGAGAAAGCTGAACACAACAGGTGCTAGGGATCGCAGAGTTATATAACTACCAAATACAAGTAATCGCCATTAATTATTGCATGAGATTGATGCAAAAAGTAAGACGTTGCCGCATAAACTAAGATTTATTGCCTTATTCTGAGACTAATTATTTTTATTAATGTCCTGTGAAAAGCTAAAAAGGTTAATAATTAAACAATTAGATAGCCAAGTAGGTTGATCGTAAAGGAAACAGTATGGACACCCACGACATGACACCGGGAGAGCCGAATGGGGCGTAGGCCGTGATCTGAATGCCATTGGAATGGGCGTACGAGACCATTTTCTCATTTAGCCAGTTCACTGAAACTTCAACTTGATTTACCGCGGGAGGAATTTTGCAAATGGCCAGAATCCGTTCAATCTGAGTCTTGTTGAAGTTCGAAACTCCAATTGACCTAACGAGACCAGCTTCAACGAGGGCCTCCATACCCTATGAAAATATAGACGGGAATGACGGGAAAAGTATATGGTCACCAATGAAGTTGTTGAAGTAAAACTAAGTATCCGCTTAAAAGGCTGAGCAGACACGTATAACTAGAAGACAGATTTGACAAGCACACGGGAGGGCACAAATTTGAGGATTGGAATGGTACTATTCAAGAAAGATAGCGTCACTGGTAAATAATATGCGGCCGACGGCTGACAGTAATGCATCGACTATAAAACAGTCTTTTAAAGACTACAAGCTGTTGTCGAAATATAATTTTAGAACGTCGTAGATAAACTGACCTTCCACGTCTCTTCTAAGGGTACCTCTTCATATTCCAGTACATCTGGATCGTCCCTAGAGAAGTTCCTGCCCTCTTTGACCTAAGGACACATGTATTAGACGAAGTAAACTAACATGGAAGGACACGGGCCAGTGGACAAGATAAAGATCCAAATATTTCAGTCCCAGCTTGCGTAAGCTTTCTTCGCATGCTGGACGCACATCCTTCAGGCGATGAGCGTCACACCATAACTACATCCTTATTACATTTCCGATTGGTTACCTTTGATGTAATGAAGACATCCTGACGTTTTATCGTTCCATCATCAATTTTTTTCTTCAGGGCATTTCCAACTTCACATTCATTTCCGTATATGTGGGCACAATCGATGTGGCGATAACCCGTATCAATCGCAGTTAGAACAGCATTTTCCACTTCGTTAGGTGGTGCCTAAAAATGGTTAGATATATTTAAACCAAAAACCATAAATGTCCCCAAGCCAATCTGGGGCATTTTATAACCGCTGTTTAGGGTCAAGAACGGCTGTTGAACCGCCATAACCAAGGATTAAAGACAAGTTGT